ACAACTTGGAAAGAGCTCTCCTGTAAGACTTCTACCATTCTAACCAATATCTCCCCTCTCTCTCTCTCTCTGTGTGACCCCCCAGATAACCCCGTGCCTACACAGAGGCCAGTGACCACCCCCCGCCCGGTCAGGCCGAGCCGCGACCCTCCGCGCACCACCACCAACACTGTGCCCTCTACCCGCTCCACCACCCCGAGGAGACCCTCAGTTGATCCCACAGGTATGTACTAAATATGAATGTTATTTGGAGTGATTTTCTTTTGGTCTTCCTCTTCCTCTTCTTCCTGATATGTACAGATGAATATTATTTGGAGTGATTTTCTTTTGGTCTTCCTCTTCCTCTTCTTCCTGATATGTACAGATGAATATTATTTGGGGTGATTTTCTTTTGGTCAGAACGCAACATTTTATATTACTGTTGTACATATTATTGTATTGTTAAGTGCTCAGAGCGGTGTACTTTAATCGGGGTTGATGATAAATGTCTTTTATTATTATTTTTTAATATTGTTATTACAAGTACAAATGATGTGACATAGAATTATACTGTAAAATTATATTCTAGATTGTGCACTCTAACGTAATTCCGGTTCTTGATGTACAAGTGATTTGCCATAGAATTATACTCCAATATAGCCTAGATCCTTCACTCCGACGAAATTTGGGTTCACGTTAGAGCACACCATTTGACTCAATTTGGAGCTAAATGAAAAGGGGAAAAGTTGTGTATGTGGGGGTAGGGTGGGGTGTGTCTAGCGCACGCGACTGATATTGCGAGATTAGTGATTTGTTATATATTTGAGACCCACAGTGCCCAGGCTTAGCAGCGAAGATTTTATAGAGCAAAAAACTGCAACCAGACAATGTCGTTGTTTTTGTGTTGGGTAGCGTGCAACCCGACTATTTCGGTCTTAGGGTAGAGCGATATTTTGACAAAGAGAGCCATGTAGTCTAGGGGACGCTACCCAGAAATACCAGTAGGGAGATTATTAAGTAGTAAGAGTTATTGTTCCTATAAGAGTTATCGTTCCTGATCCCTTGCGCCACCGTTCCCTATCCCCCTCCTCCCCCCACGGAAACAGGCGCAACATTTAACATTTTAATTTTTAATCATTAATGTTTTATTTGCCCTTAACGTGAATTCGTTTTGATTCTGAGCATGTTTATCTGTCGCTGTTGTTGTTGTCTTTGTTGATTAGTCCTGCTGATGTTGTGGTCGCATGCAACCCGACCACTTGGGGCTCAAAGCTGAACCAAAGACCTTGTGTATACGGTATTTACGGTCTGTGGCTGAACGATAGGCCTATTTCAGATCCTTGATGGAGAAAGCTTTGTAGTCTAGGGGACGCTACCCAGAAATACGAGTGGGGAGATTATGTAGCAGTATGAGTTATTGTTCCTGATTTGTTCATGGCCCTTTTTTTTCGCGGAAACGGGAGCAAATTTTAACCTAATTTTCTTTTTAATTGTTAATGTTTTTATTTGCCCGTAGCGTGAACGTGTCCAGATTCTGAGCTAGCCCATCTGTTGTAAAGATTTTACTCCCCTCCCTCCGCCCAAGTCAACACAATTTACAGTCCCAACAGAAACCCGAGAGTACTCAATGAAAACTTTTCCCTTGTTCTCTGGGTAAAATAAAAAGCAATTTCAGCCATCCTTTCATTTAAAAAATGTCTTTCACACGAACACACGGCGATCCAAAGTGAAAACCCCGAATATCCTTAGTGTAGTAAGTTACACCACTGGAAGGGTGGGATGGAGGGAGGGAGGGGGGAGGGGAGAGGAAGGACTACTTCTTGTTACTCAATCTAGCAAACAAGATAACCAATGTGTCTGCAGGTGGTAGGCGGGTGCTCCACTGGTATTGTTTACTCCTTCTTTCCTATCAAACATCGATGCTTCTTATCTTTCCTTCTTCATTCTTGTGTTGGTTACTCTCATGTAACATCTCTAATCATTGGCACTTACACTTTTTTGTAGGGTTGCAAGTTCTGTAAAGCTCTCACTGCTATTTTTTTGTAACTAAACAAAAACAAACAAGATAAATGACGCATTTCTCCTGTTCTCTCCCACAGACCCCGACAAAGATGGCGACCCAGTCCCCGGCTCGGACGGTTTCCCCGACGATAACACGGTCATCCGAGACGGCGACGGCCCCAACATCAACTCTGGCGTCATCGCGGACAACGGGGACGGCGCCAACGCCAACTCCGCTCTTTCCTTACATAGCCATTATCTCCCCTGCCTGCTGACGGCAGTTGTCTCCCTCTCGCTTCTACTCCGGCTGGTCACGGGTCGGTAGTAGAGGGAGGAGGCCCGCCTAGCTTGTTTGTTTCCTTGTTGCCCATTTCTTTGTGCTGTAAAGTAAGATGTTATGTTTGTGCATGTATGCGTGGGTGTTTGGGTTTTTGGATGTGTGTGTTTGTTGAGTAAAAATGCTCCCTCCACCCCCTGCACCCCCCAG